GTGAGTTTGAAGTATGTGTAGATATGCTTGGACACTATTTTTAAGATTGAAATGAAAAATAGAAAACAACTTTATAGAACAGCTTCCTGATGAAAGTGCAGTTTCACTGTTTTCAAAATCCTTAATCTATTGATTTCGAGAAAATGTACCACAAAACAAGTAAAAGCAAGATTTACTGCTTCTTTAATTGTTTTAATTTACCACTTTATTCAGAAGCATTGCATACTGTATTATGTGTAATAAACATTGTAATATAACATAAAATCTAAATGAAATACATAAAATAATAACCGGAAACTCAGAATTTTTACAATCCATTTTTTATGTTGTTAGAACAATGCTATTACGGTGAAAATAACACTAGAAAGGTTGCTGAAATAAATTGCTCCAATGAGTATGTACTAAAATTTTCTGGAATTTTTATTCCGTGAGAAATTCTGGAATTTCAGCTCATCATTACCATTAATTCAGAGCAAAGAAAAAGAAAAATATTACTCAAAACTGAATCGCAGTGAACAAAAAATGGAATTAAAAACTGTGCACAGATATCAAAAATCTTGTTCTGTGAGGTTGCACTTCCGTGCATAAGGACTGACATTATTTAATCTATTAACAAACCTGCATGTGTGCACATTTTAAATGAAAATAAGACTTTTGAAATGACAGTTCAAATATTCTGAAATCCATCCTCTGTCTTGTCTAACCTTGTAGCATGTATTTATCACTTTCATGAGGACACATAATTTATACCTACTCTTCACTTGACCCAAGCCACTAAAGCAAATGAATTACCATCAGTTCAAGTCAGTTTATACAAAGACTCTTTTCACTGAAAATGCACTGCTCCAGCACACTAACTGAACAAAGGCTCCACATAAAAGCCTTTGTCGTGTATTTTTAGGATACTTTGTATAATTTTGATCTACGTCAGTATACTTTGCATACCTTCTCTGTGTTGATATTATTTAAGTTTTAGCTACAACGGACTTTATATGACACTACAGAAGAACGAAACAGTGAATTAAAGAAAAAAAAAGAATCCCTTCTATGCTTTCATTTGTGGTCAGTCACCACCGTACTCCCTCTCATTTCTTTTGAGATTTGTAGCCTAGAGCAGATCTACAGCCATCTGGCTTTAATCTGCTATTCAGGATGATAGTCTGTGGATCAATGAACTCTAGCCATAGTCTATAGAGAAGCTGCAAATCTTTTTTGGAAAATTTCCAGAGGATAATAATATTCACAAGAGACTTCTTTTGACTCCCTTATCTCCAGCTACAGTTTTTCATAAAAGAATGGTATCATAGCTGCCTGTTCCAACAATTGCTTCTGTCATGATGCATTATTGCCAGTGAGCTAAACAACTGAAGTCATAAATCTTTGAGCTTTTAACTATGCTACCACTGCCCAAAGGAGATTTTGTGAGACAGCAGTGAGCTAAAGAGAGTCAAGTGACCAAATGCAAAAGGGTAAAATGGGACAGAGAAGCTTTCCTTCTAAAATATTGTTTGGATTTTCCTGCAAGAAGAACATAGCATGAAGTAAAGTTTCTTGGCAACTCTGAAATTAAACAGGGTGCACTTGGTTCAGTTAATGCCCATGCTGACATAAATGAGTAATTGTACTGACTGTACATTACACTGAGAAAAACATTTTAGCAGGAAATAAAAACCACGTCCTGGTGCCCATTGACTTGGCATCTGCTGAGTAAAAATTGCACAAGTGCATACACTATAAAGTGCTCATCTGCCCAGCTGTCATCACAATTGCCTGGTCAGCACTCCCCTGCACACACACCTCCGCGCATGACCTACAGCCATCCTGCCAAAACCAAAAACTACGTGGCTTAGTAAACTCCCAAGTGGAGTCTGCAGTGCTGCTGCTTCTGCCCTCCTTGTCCTGAAGAAAAAGTGGGGAGAATATTTTGAACTGAAGCAGTGCCAGGTTCATCATGCCCAAACTGAATTCAATACAGTGCTGCTGGACAACAGAGTACTCTCCCCAGAGTTGGCTGAAATCCCTAAAGGATGCTCATTAGCACACATGCATTGCCTTCCTTGCAGAGGGCCACGAAGGCATGATAAGTCAGCCTACTAAATTGCTCCAAATAAGCAAGCAGCACTCCTTAACTGTTAACTCTTCCAACACACTTTGCTACTTCTTTCAGAAATCTATCTGAAATGAAACTGGCATAAATCCAGGAATACTTTCTGATCTGAAATGAAGGCCTCCTATATGTGTATAACTGCCCTTAAGTCTTTGATGATGTGAATACCCATCTTTTAAAATTATTGTTATATACACCATGCAAGCTGTATCCTCATGTCTCAAGAAAAACCTAAGATGACTATTCTTTCAAATTCTTGCAACTTCATTTAACTATGTTGAGATTCTGAATTTTAAATATGAACAGCTGAATTCTCCCCTTAGATACATAAAAGCAATTCCCAGTGAACTCAATTAAAGCTGTCTTGAAATCTCACAGAGTACCTTAAGCTTTATATCTTGGAAGTAATTGGAGATACATCATGTGAATTGTCTAATGGAATGATGAATCACCCCCATTTCACTGTCTGGAAGGAGAGTTTGCATACCTGATCCACACCTTCTCACTTGTAAATTTTCAAAACTGCAGCTTCTCTGTAAACCTCCATTTGTATAAATTATTTCAATTTCATGGTGCTAATCCTCTTTTTTTTGTGAACCTTATATGGATTTCCTGCCAAGAAAGGAAGAACTATGGGGGGAAAAAAATTTATTTTAACAAAGACTACTCTTATATAAAATATTTCTACTCTATAATGTTATGGGGAACATTTTACAACAAATCAGATTTTACAAGAAGACAGAAAGGCTATGATTTTTGTGCTGGGCAGGATTTCACACTGCTCAAGGGCTGGGACTTCTCTCTTGCCAAGAGAATCTTTAGAGCATCTGAGAAAAAAATAGAATCGAAATTTCTTCCAAAATATTATTTCAAGAGTGCCTAGAAACACTGATAAGCATGCTGCTGATTCTAAAATGACTTTTTACTTCCAAGCTGTCTCTGTTTTCTATCAAAAATAGAAAAGATTTGCAGCTTCTACAAAATATTCCAAATTAATTACAAAATATTTTGTTTGAAGCAATTTCTGAGATATTAGAATTATAGAATGGAGTTACAGAATGGCTTAGGTTGGAAGGGACCTTAGAGATCATTGTTTCAATAATTTTTTGTGGTTGTTGTTTTAACAATTTTAATTCAGATCAAAGTAAAGTTAAATTGGGGTGGAAACTCCTTTTTTAAAGACAAAGGAAGTGTAAGTACAGGTCAGAATCGATAAGGGGCCTTTCTAGATAGCCAGTGCCAAGCATCATTTTATGGAATGGGGGTGTGAGGATTCCAATAACCAGGAGGCAGCAGCTAGAGCCAGTGACAAGGGAAAATAGCTTTTCTGTCTTCCTTTCATTTCTACCACAGAGCTAGTTAGCTTCAGCTTTACAAAAGAAATTGCTTTGCTGACCATACTTTTAATAGAACAGCCATAAACTTTTAATTAAGAGATAATCTGAATGAAACAGAATATTTTCATAGAGTAATAGTCTCCTGCTCTCAGGCAGTCAAGGCGTTTACTGAAATAAGATTTATCTTCAAAGCAGAAGATATTGATCATGTGCTATTACAATAACAATGTTATTTCTTTTACCAGATAATGGATGGTGACACAGTGATTTTGACTGATGGATGTCAGTACACAGGAGAGACAAGTGGTTTAATGTGGTTACTCGATAGCAGACCTCTGAATAGTTCAAATCATAATTGCCCCTTCTGGGGGTCAGAAAACTAGGAAAATTTTAGAAAACAGTGGATTTTTCTCCCATAGAAGAAGTTTTCATTTAAAATACCATACAATTAGGATTCTTCTTAATCAATGGACTTACAAATACTTAATTACAATAATTTTAAATGCTTTTACTGATTTTTTCCTAGCAATAAGAACATTTTACTAGTAAAGTATAATAAAGAAAAAGGAGTATCTTTTTACAGCCATCCTCAAAGTTTCACCCAAGATGCATGTTTCTAAGAACACAGAATGCAGATGCAGCAGTCACCCAGTTGTGTATTGTTGGGTGCGGATTCATTTGTTCATGAATTTCTGTCTGGAGCTTCCTATGCTCCTCTCCCAGGCATATGAGAATCTAAATTATGTCTTAAGATTGGTGAGGAACTGTGTGTGTCACTGTGAGGTGGAGTGAGACACTCTTCCGCCTATTCAACACTTGGGGCATGGCCCTGACTAATCTTTTTTTTCTTATTCATTTTTCCCTTAAAAAACATCCACAGTCATTCATCCTTTCTTAATATATACAGAAAGTATATGAAAATATACTCTTTTAAATACAGGTGGGAAAAAGAGTTTTCTTTTATGCTGGCCATTTTGTGCTGAAAGCTGTAGGCAAGATACACTTTTCAAGAAAAATGGTAAGAACTCTATGGTTTCCCCTCTTTTTTTTTTACAATTTATTTCATGTCTTGTTCTGGAGGAATTGGCAGAACTGACTAGCTGCTGAATCTGCCCTAAATTTTGGGTTTTATTAGTTTTCCAAAGTTTTGGGACCTTCTGCCCTGAACAAAACAATACAATGATACTGGGTAACAGTCCTTAAGCATTTCTATCTTTATTTCTACTTCAATTAATTTACTGGGGGTTTAGCAGCTGTGGAAAAATGTTTGTTTTGTGTAAGCTGGTATTGTGTTGGACTGGCAGCCTTACAGAAAAATGACAAATTGTACTCATCTCTATTTTCACATTTCTATTTCTCTATTTTTGGTTGCCTCCAAGTCCTCTGTACTTTCAAAGAAAAATAAATATATAATACAGATATGAATAAAACATTTTTAAGTATTTTGCAAATGATGGGGCATGACAGGTCTGGCACTGTCTGCCAAATGTAGATCCATTCTGTGGGTACTTAATGAACCAGTCCTGCTAAACTCAGTGCTTGTGTTCCCTAAACAGGTGACCAGGAGAGGGTCTTTGAAGATCTCCAGAGGCAGATTTTTTCTGGCAAGCTGAGGCATCTAATGAGCAACAGCCTCCCCTCTGGGGGCCTTAGAAAGAGGATGGAGTTTACTGCTGATTATATAGGATATCGCTTTAACCGGACAGAGTATGCCAAAATTTAGGTCCCCGTATTTTGTGACCTTTTTTGACCAAATATTGCACCCCTTCTGCTCCTGCTGTAAGGAGAAAAGGATGAGGACAAGAACAGGATGAATGAACCAGAGTTTTGGCTTTCACCAGGCATTTTCTTGGCACACATCTTGCTCTACATGTATACTCTGGTATCAGCCTTGGTGGGTGTGGGTTTGTGCTGTCAAATAATAGCCATGTTATGGTGAGGTATACTGGATCCCATCTTCCTGGAAGGGGAGGAGTAGGGGTTTTGAACTGAAACTGGGTAGGTTTAGATTAGATGTTAGGAAGGAATTCTTTATTGTGAATGTTGTGAGACACTGAAACTGGTTGCACAGAGAAGTTGTTGATGCCTTATCCCTGGAAGAGTTCAAAGCCAGACTAGATGGGGCAACCTGGTCTAGTAGGAGGTTACCCTGCCCATGGCAGGGGTTTGGAACGAGATAATCTTTAAGGTCCCTTCCAACCCAAACCATTCTATAGTTCTGTGTTGATTCTATGCTATGTGGGTAAGTGTGAGTGTAAAACGAGGAGTTAGGATATAATTGAGAATGAATACAGGACTTACCTTCTATTTTCAATCCTATCTGGAGCAACCTTGGTGTTTCAGAGCCTCAAGGAGCGGCATGCCTTACCTCTGCCCTTGCCCAGCTCAAGGTGCTCTCCTCTCGGTAAGGATGGGGGCTTGAGCACCCGCCTGTCCCCTGGCACCCCCCAGCCATCAACCCTGCCCCACTCCTTTCACCCGCGGGGCGAAAGGTAAAGCAGATAGCTCCGTTTTCTCGGGAGGAGCAGTGGCACAGGCGAGACCCCTCCCGGCTCCTCGGCTCCTGCCCGGGCAGGGGGTCTCCCCGGCCCCACCCCCTTTTTTCGGGAGGGTCTCGCCCGACCGCCGGGCAGCCACGCTGGCTCCGCGGGAGCGGTCAGGTCTTGCTCCGGGGGCACAAAGTCTTCCTGGCGATCGTTCCCGGCTCGATCGGCGCCGGAGAGGCCGGGTTATTCGGCTTCTCCCTCCCCAGCCCCTCCGCCACTCGCACTTCAGGCGCAGCTTGTCCTTCATTTGAATAAAACCATCATCAAAACCATTCAGTTGAGTCAGCTATTAAACCACTTAATTCCAAAATCCATACCATGGGTAATTTAGAAAGGGCAATTAAAAAGCCAGAGAACAGTCTCTATGGTTTTTTTATTGTGAACTTCATCAGCCCGGAGTGCCGCCTGCCATCCGCTTTCTAATAAATGTCTTGATACACAAATTGAAATAGTGTTTTATAGGTGCCTGCTTTGCTTCCCCTCCTCTACCCCAGTCTGTCAGAAAATGCTCTCCTGGGTATAAATCACTCTTTCATTTTATTTTATTTTGTTCTGATGCAGATTTAGGTCTAGATTAAGAATGGCCATGACATAACAAACAGAGAGAGAAAGACAATGAAGCAATCACCCAGCGGGAGCTGTGTGGCTCCTCACAGCTGGGTGCAAGACCAGCCCTGGTTGTGTTGAGCTTAACACTTTCTCCTGGTCAAAGCAAAGGAGCAGCAGAGCTTGGGAATGAGCCAGATCCGTCACAGCTTTGCTAGTGCTACAGCAACCTCTGAACACAATCCCTCCTCAGAATGGGGACGAAGGCTTCAATCACACTTTTGCCCGTCAAAGGCAAAGAAGATAGGACTTATATCTGCAATTAAATTGAGAAAAATTCTGCTTTAATACTTATTAAATCCAGAGTAACAAGGCTGAGAGTGACTAAAACAAGAGAGCCACAGCAGGATTAATCTAAAGTTAATGTTTTGTTCTCATGTTGTCCTCCTGGCTGCTCAAAACACTCTAATATCTTGCTAATGTTCGTTTTCATAGACAGTGCATGAAACTTCCTTGTTCACATCCTGCAGTGTCTGAACAAGAGCCCAGATCATGCATTCTGCATCTCCATCTGTGCTGGTGGGTCAACCCGCTCTGTGAAAAGAGCTCTCTCATAGCTCCTCATATTCCTCTAAACCGGTGAGAATCTGAAGTGCCAGGAATTCAAATTGAACTCAGCTTTCCTTTTGATTGAAACAATTCAGACAAATACACAGCTGAAAACCTTCCCCACTTTTCCCAGGTGAAAAGAAAGGTGATTTGGAGCAGTAAGTGTGACAGGCTTCACCTTCACTGCTGGAGCACAGCTGGGGGACAGTGGCAGAGCAGCAGGAATGGGAGCTGCCTCTTGTGCCTGCAGTGAAACTTCACAGACAGAAGTATCCGAAAGAGTTAATTTAGTTCACAACAGAGATCCCTGACTATGCTGCATCTATTGTCTTTGCAAAGATACTTTCTTTTGTGTTCTTCTCTTTCACAATTTGCCATCTCAGACAATTGACAAGACAGTGCTTCTCGCTGGATAGCCCCAATGGAGGTGTTTTTCCTTACAGTTTCTTCAACCGTCTGGTTTTCTGCTTCTCTCTCCCTTTCCGTTTCCTGCTGGCACTGAATCCTAAACTCCTAACCTCTTACACACATGCACATTTATTTTTTTTTCACTTGCTGGGGGAGGTGCTGCACAATGAGATCCATGTAGTGAGAGTTCAGTTGCTATATGTCGGAGCACTGCGTATGCTAGCCAGTTTTCTCACCCACACCCCTCTCTGTGGGATTTCTCAGCACACTTGCTTCCCAGCTCCTGCACTCAACATGTGGTGCAAAGTGTAGTGGAATATCCGGGTCTGAGGCCCTGCCATGTACAGGAGGACTCTTCCTGTCTCGTATTAATATTGCTGCAAGTGAAATCTGTGGCATTTTGATTGCCTTGGAGCTCCAGTGCTGAAACACATCTCTCTGTGCTTACCCATATGATTCTTCATTCAGCTTTTTGTCTTCACATGAAAGAGAGGGCAAAAAAATTCTTTTGATGTTTTTGAGAATATTGCAAAATATTCTCAAGAAAACACCATTTCATTTGCTCAGGCTCTTGTTCATACAGGCTTTCATGACTTCCAGGATTGACTATTTTAATTTGTTCCTGGTGGTGTTCCAGATTGTTTGCTAAACTGGCTGCAGATGGTTTTGAATGCTGCTGCCGCCAGAATTGTTACTAGGACTTGATCTACAGATCATATTTCTCCAGTCTCACATTCCCTCTACCCTGGTGCCGGTTAAGCGGCATATGGCTTTAAAATTCTTTTACTGACTCATAAAGCTTGTACTGGCCCTGATTCTTTTTACCTCTCTGACCTTTTAACTCTTTAGACTTTGGCTTAGGCTCACGGCTCATCTGGTGTAACGTCCACTGACTGTTCAGAGCCATCATCTAGAAACCAGGGTCGAGTATGGCTTTGGGTTTTGCTCCTTGTCGTGCTTTTCTGTAACTTCAGTGAAGGAAATAGGTTGTCTTTTTGCTCCTATTGCCTAGTATTCACGTGATCATCCCAAGCTGTACACTAAGCTTTTCTACCTAGATTTACACACAGACACACAGAAAGCCAACATGTGAATGATATGCTGCTCCTTTAAAATTAAAAGTGCAAATAAAAGAAGTTTGATTTACAAGAGAACTGGTCTAATAAATTCTGAAGGGCCACTTACTGACTACACTGGGTGAAGAGGGAGAGCTCCTTGTATGTGCATGACGTGAAAAAATCAGGAACACCACCTTCTTTGTGTGCCCTTCAAGTACCTTGATTATTGAAAGGACAGGAGTGTCACTCTTAGCTTTCTATCAACTTTGTGTTGCCTCAGGTATGTAAAAACACTACCTTGCCTGAGTATTTGGTTCCCCCTTAACTAGCTAGACCCTGCTGCTGGCTTTCACCGCTGTCAGATGCAGAACCAAGAAGAACAGAAGGGAACTGAGTTCTTTTCACCTGCAACTGCATGTGCTCACAGAGCTTTCACTAACAGTAGTACAGCACGAATGCACAGTGGGTGAATTTTGTATTTACTGAAATCTATGGGAATTTTGTTGGTGGCTTTGTTACAGCCAAAGCTTTAAGGAGTGGAGTTTAGAAACGTCCTAGATTGCCAAGGTTGGCGAGTGCATGGAATGAGTTCCTGCTGTCAGTAACCTAACACAGGATTGTTCTGGGAGCCACAGGGATGTAATCAGGGGGTGTGATGGTTTTAGAGCCCAATTCCAGAGAAGAACCACTCTGCAAGCCTAACCACTGATATTTATTCTTCAAGGGTTAGTTCAGGGTGGACTCCTGTCCTCTTGCTAGCTTTTGATTCCTCTGGAGCACTGAGATGTTTTTCTCCATCTGGAAGGAATTCAAAGTGCTCCCTTCTGCTCCCATTTCAATCCGCAAGACCACACCAGGACCTGGACATTTCACTCCTTTGTCTTTACTGACTGCAACACAGTTGTTTCTGAAAAGGTACATGAGAGTTTCTTTCATCTGAGTAGCTCTGACTTTACAGATCTCTTTTCCATCTTGATCTCCCCAATCTGATTCTATTGGTGAGCTCCTGTATATTTTGTATTTACTCCTTTCTTTTTCTATCTTTCCACAGAGTATAAAGTAGAACAGAAGTTCTACCTTCCGTGTGGAAAACTATCCCAGGCTTTTTTGCTTCTTTCACTTCTTCCAGAGTTGATCACAGTGACATATTCTATTATTCTGTAGAAATGGGAAGGAAAAAAAAAAAGAAAGAAAAAAGAGAACAATTTGAAGGCTTATCTCCACTGTCCTTTATTCTGACTGCATTCTGGCTGTTTTGCTTTTGTATTTTCTGTCCAAAAAAAAAATGGAGAGCAGAGGGGAAAAAAGAATGGATAGATCAGCATTTCTTCATAAAAAAATCTTTTTCTCAAGAGATTTGTATATTTTATGGAGAAAGAAGTCAAAGTTCAGATTACTTTTTGGAGCATGGAATATATTAAGTTTATTCCTGTATGGTAAATTTGTCAAGGGAGAATTACAGTATGATGTAAAATGTTAGAATGCCATAGCAGAGTTTATGAAGTATATTGAAAGGGGTTGTATCTATAAGGCTGGGAACATAAGACATAGGACAT